GGACAAGTAACTGGTAGTCGTAGTCTACAATTGCCTTCAGAAGTAAACAGTACAGAAGTAAACAGTATAGTGACCTCGAGTCGAAACAAGTATCTAGAATTTCCTCGACATACAGTACAGCAGAAGCTCTTCGCTCTCAGGCAGTACATTCGAATACGTTTTCAGCTCTAGCCTACTCTCATCCCACCTATTTCATTACACTACACGGCCCTACTGGAGAACTTGCTACCCCTGACAGCACCATAGGCCAATTTGTATCGCCATCTTTGGAGTTTGTTATCCTAACTCCTGTTCAGTTTTCTCACTGCCTCTGACTGAATGTTCATGGAAATCACCTTAATCGCCCAAATAGTAGCGCAAGTCGCACATACCTGAAACGAACACTGCAAGTCCGGATTGATGATCATGACAGCAGCGGCGTTGTCGAATTGACCACAGTAGTGCGGGGCTGAGAATATTGTGACCAGCTTTCTGTTCGAGAAAAACTCGTAGCCATCTTGAACAACCTAAGAAAACTAGTCATCGGATGATTTATTTATCAGTAAAAGCTCTCTAGTAGGCTGCTCCTCAGAAATATCAGATCAGCATTACTTCATATTTGACGAGTTAAGGGTTAAGCTCACGATGAAAATGGTTTCTGTGATATGTCACTCTGATGAATCTGTGGCGTGCCCGTATATCATATGTGGCGCTGTAATCTGTAAATGGCCGGGGGCTATAAGGGCTCAGAAATGTTATCGGTTGGATGCCACACCCATAGTGGACGAGTTTCGAAAGCGCTGCAGAGAGTGCACCACCTCGGCTTCCATGTTGGAAGTTCAAAGAACGAGAAGTGACCCAACCATGTTGACAGTTAAAGGTAGTTTTAGACATTTTTTCAGTTTTTAGAGCACTTGCAACAACTGAAATCTCGTCCAAATACACTATATGCCATTCCCATCATGGTGATCTCGTTCAACCTCTACTTCCACTACTTTTAGGAAGCTTATAATTTCGCGAAGTCGACGAAACTCTCGCTTTCTTCGCCACCGATGCACTATTCTTCACCGACATTTCCGCTTTTCAACTTAAAAAAGGGTACCTCAAAGTTATCCCGAATTGTTCCTCTAATCAATGAATGTGCAAAAAAGGGAAAAAGTGAAGTGATCGGACTTGATGAGCTCTCACGACGCAGTCCA